TAATATTTACCCCCCAAAGGCCTCCTCTGGTGGCGCAGCAGTTGAACACTGGGCTGTGAAGCTGCCCGCAGCCTCTGCAGCACCAGTTCAATCCCCGGCCACTGGGTGAGGGCCCCACATGGTGCGCAGACCTCTCCTGCCGCCCACTGCTCCCCTCAGCAGTGTACTTTGTCAATCTGCCTGCTCTGCTCCCTGCTCTGGCTCTGGTGAATTCTCTCACCCTTCCGCGCTTCTGACTGTACCCAGTGCTTGTAGAAATAAATAAATAAATCTTTAAAAAAAAATTCTTATAAAAAAAAAAAAATTTACCCCCCCAAAAAATTAAGACTTAAATTTCCCAAAAAACTTATACACACAGTGTATTTTTAAATAACCATCCCAAACTAGAAGGAATGCAGATGTCCTTCAACTAATATATGAATAAGCAAAGTGTAATCATTGATATAATAGACTACTATTTAGCAATTAAAAAGAACCACTATACAAGCAAAAACATGGAAGCATCTTAAATGCAATTTGCAATATGAAAAAATCCACATTTGGGCCTCCCTGGTGGCGCAGGGGGTTAAGACGCAGCGCTATGAAGCTCTCTGTAGCCACTGCAGCAAGAGTTCGATCCCTGGCCAGGGATCTGACACACATGGCACAGCAGACCTCTCCTGTCTTGCCCACTGCTCCCCTCAGCAGTGTATTTCAGCAGATCTGCCTGTTCTGCTCCCCACTCTGTCTCTGGTGAATCCTCTCATGCCCAACACCTCTGCCCTGTACCCCAGTTCTTATATGCATGAATAAATAAATCTTAAAAGAAAATCCACATTTAAAAATCATACAATTTCACTTACATGACATTCTGAAAAAGTCAAAAGTATAGAAATAGAAAATAAATTCATGCTTCCTAGGCGTTGGGGCTAGAAGGTAGAGTTGAGAAAAAGTACAGCACAAAGGAATTTGGGTGGGAGGTCACAGAATAGTTACTCATCTTGATTTGGGTGGTAGTCACAGGACTACGTGCATTTTTCAAAACTCATAGAATATAAACCAAAAACAGTTCTGTACACCAGGAATTTTAAATTTATTTAAAAACTTAAATTAGAGAGTTCCAGTTAAAATCTCTGGTAAAAATCAACTACTTGATCTTGACTGAAAACCAGTATCTTTAACTTTGTAGCTCTCTAATCTCTGTAATACTGACCATTTGTTTTAAACAGCTTTCTCGTGAGGTTATGTTTCAAGTATGATATGTCTAGGAATGTATAGGAAAGAAATTAGACTTGATCTCAAAGGGACCCTGAGAAACCTTTCTTTTTTTGTTTTTCTTGGAAACCGTCTTTTATTGAGATGTATTTTACATATAACTTGTATAAGCTTAAGATAAACAACATATTGCAATGTGATAGCCAGTTAATTGTATTTTGTTTCATATCTGCAAATATAAATTGAAATGATAGATATAAAGAAAGATCTCACTTGCTCAACTCTGTAGGACCAAATTCCCCCCTCATTATGTAGAGTTGGGGGTTGCTGAGAGGCCCTGCTCCCCTGCTGAGGCCTTCCTGTGTCTTTGAGCTCCTGTCTCACAAGGGGGTATGTGTTTGTTTGAAGAATGTATCTTACATAGACTGGATGCTCCTCGCAAGGCTGTGGAAGCCCAGGACTCCCCTTCTAGTCTGAGACCAGGTAGGAGCTTGGCTTTGTTGTTTAAGATACGTGATACTGATAACATTTTGTGCTCAGTTTGACCTTAACTGTCAACAGAAAAATCTCCTAGTTTGTGTCTGAGCACATTAGGAAAGACTCAAAAAGCAATAGGACCAAGGAGCACCCTGAGCTCATACAAGGTGGCCGATTCAGTGTTAGTATTTGGTGAGGGGCAGCGGGGCAGGACAATGCATGATGCTTGCGGGAGTATCCTTGACATGGCTGACAACAAGGTCCCTAGGCCTGATGATCCCCTGAGGAGAAGTTCATGCAGCTTGTTTCACAAGGGAAGTAGGTGATCAAAGCATATTTTTAAATACATGTACTATGTGTAGGGGTTGAGAGAGGAGAACTTGAAGGTTTTAAAAGCAGGCTTATTCAAGGAATGGGAGGCGAGAGTAAAAGGACAGCACATTATGGGCTGAGAAGGAATTTTGAAATCCCAGAACTTGGAAAAAGAAGAAACCCGCTAATAAGGCTAGGTTCTAAAACAAAGTGGAGCTACAGGTTTGTGGAGCTAAACATCCCAGACTAGATTAGGCTTTTGAGTGACTGGTCATATCATTGGTTCATTCATTCACTGAATAAATAATTCTTGATGAGCACTTTATGCCACATGCTAGACTTGGAACTATGGGTAGGTCAATATTTTTTCTGGTAAACACAGGGATGGTAGCTGACAGGATGAATTAACAAATAAAACGACACCAGAAGATAGCAATCTTAGAGTTGAAACTGCTGGGGCTTGACTTATAAGACACTTAACCCATTTGTGCCCCAGTTTCCCCAAATAAAAATACTAAGAGTACCTACTTTGATAGGGTTGTTGTAATTAATGTGTAATTAGTGTAAAGTCTTAGAACGGTGCCTGAAACATAGGGAGCACTCAATAATTATTAGCTATTAAAAATGTAAACAGATATATACTTTAATGTTAGGTCCTAGTGGAAAGAGCTATAAAGAAAATATTGCAGATAAGAGGGCAAGTGTGGTGGTAGAACTGTTTCAAAATAGGTGCCGAAGAAAAATCTCTCTGAGGAGGTGATATATAAACAGGGACCCACATGGTGTGAGAGAACACGCCACACAAAGTCTGTAGGAAAAGTATTTTAGGTGGCAGGAACAAAGGTCCTGGTGCAGGAAAGACCTTGAAGAGCTAGGAAAGGTGGTGGAGAAAAAGATGCTGAAAACAAACTAGTCTTGACTCCATTGTGCTCCTCTCTTTGGATGCAGGCCACCTTCGAGGCTCTGTCACCTCAGGTAGATGTTCTATAGGGGTCTGAGAGGTCCTGCTTTATTTACCAAATTGAAATTTTCAGAGCTAGGGAAATGTGACCTTAAGAGCATGTTATGTATATATTTATATAAAGTGCTACTAGTCAAGTCAGAAAATACTTAAGAATTGCACAGTCCAGGCCTCCCTGGTGGCTCAGGGGTTAAAGTCTTAGCTCTATCAAGCTATCACCAGTCACTGTGGCATGAGTTTGATCCCCAGCCAGGGAGCTGACCCACATGGCCTGCAGCAGACCTCTCCTGTCTTGCCCGATGCTCCCCTCAGGAGTGTATTTCAGTAAATCCACCCGTTCTGCTCCCCACTCTTGTTTCTGGCGAATCCTCTCACCTGCTATACCTCTGGACTACACCCCAGTTTTTGTATGCATAAACAAGTAAAAATAAATCTGAAAGAAAAAAAAAAAGAGTTGCACAGTCCCTCCGCTTTTTTTTTTTAAAGAGAAAGATAATGCAATGACTGTGTGACTATCTTGACTCCAGAGTCCTGGAGTAAAATGGATGACTATTAACACCAAGAGGAACGTACACAGACTACATATAAACTTTTGTCTGTTTAGTGAAGATTTTGCCTCCAAATGAGGCAGGGCAAGTTTTGTTGTGACAGTGTCAAAAAAAAAAAAAAAAATCCTTGGGTTCTCAGGGTTTTTTGAATTTTGAAGTTGCAGGTAAAGGATTGAGAACCGATGCTACTTTCTTCCTCTGGACCCTCTGCAGGATCAATAGTTTGGTAACCAACATGCAGAAGACAAAAAGCCAAACTGAAAAATCTGTTGCAATAGTGCATTAACAGCCATTGTGAGAGCCAAATGCACGCTTAGTCATTCTACCTGAGCTCTCTTAAGAACCTCCTCTCAGGTGCGGATTCCAACAGCGTTAACGCCACCATTTTCACACAGGAGGACAAAAGGACCCCCCTGGCCGTATAGATTGATGGTATAAATTAATAGCACTAAGATCCTAGTGATCAAAACGACCTTCCACAAGGAAGAAAACTTTGCCAGGGCTTCCCTCTCTTCAGCAATTTTATTTCTGAGGTAAACATGGGCTTCGAACAAGAGTGAGAAATTCAACCTCAATGTTAGTGTCCATTTGACCAGAGCTCCCGGGAAGACGGGCTCTCGGTAGCCCTTGGAGCCCAGAGAATTATTAATTCATCCTCGATAACTTCTGATATCAAAAAGGTGCACTGATCTGGTCAGTGTTCCCCGTACAGTCAAATGCTTATGAAACGCGTCGTGCCAGCAGCTCCCCGACCTCGCAGGCCGCCGCCCCTGCACAGGTTCTCCTGGTCCTCAAGCGCCGCGTCGTGCGCGGGGGCCCCGGTCGCCGCCCCCGGGGCTGCCCAGCGCGTCCCCCCAGCGCGGCGCGGGGCCTCCGCCGCGGGGCTCCGGCCACCAGGGGGCGCTGCGGCCCCCTCTCCCGGGAGCGGCCGAGCCAGCCCGGTGGGTGTTTCTCTCTCCCTCTCGCGCTCTCTCCTCCCGGCCTCACATCCGGGTCTGGCGCGCGGCGGCCGCTGTCAGAGCCGGTGCGGGCGCGTCGGGGGCCGAGCCGGGGCGCAGTCAATGGCGGCGGAGGGAGGCGGAGCGGCGGCCACGCTCGCCCCAGAGCCCCCGAAACTTTAAACTCGCAGCCCCACAACTTCCCGGGAAGTGCTGCCGCTCCGGGGGCGTGGACGGAAGGGGAAGCCGAGGCGGGAAGTCTGGGGGGCGGGGGGGACGCGGCCCGGCACCGGCGAGACTCGAACTCGCGGCGGGGGCGGGGGCGGAGCCCGCCCGTGGCTCGCGCGGCCGCGGCCCCCGAGCCGGAGCCGCGCGCCGCGCCTGGGAGTGCGCGGGGCCTCGCCGGCGGCGGCGCGCCGAGCCCCGCCGGCCCCCGCCGCGCCACCTCCGGCCGCGGGCTCGGGCGCACCCCGCGCGCGCGAGGCCGGGGCTCCCCGCGGCCTCGGGGTCGAGCAGCAGGCCGGGCCGCGCGCCGTCTCCGCGCCCGGGGTCGCGGGGCCCGCGCCCGGGTGGTGCATGCGGGGCGGGGCGGCCGGGAGCCGGGGGCGAAGATGGAAGGCTTGACGCTGAGCGATGCGGAGCAGAAATACTACTCGGATCTCTTCTCCTACTGCGACATCGAGAGCACCAAGAAGGTGGCGCCCAACGGGCGGGTGCTGGACCTGTTCCGGGCCGCGCAGCTGCCCAACGACGTGGTCCTCCAGGTAACGCCGCCGCCCTGGGCTCCGCTCGGCGCTGCTCTGCCGCGGCGCCCAGGGGTCGCCTCCCGGCGGCCCGGCCTCGGGTGCTCGTCCCGGTGGGGTGGAGGCGGGCGCGGGCCCCTGCGGGCCGGGCTGGGGGGCCGGGGCCCCGGGCTCCCCCGCAGCGGCGAGGCCGCAGGTGCCCGGGCGGCCCGCGCTCGCGCCGCGGCCGAGGGGGAGGGGGTCGCTCTCGGAGGACAAAAGTCCTGCAAAGAGGCGGGGAGCGGGGAAGGGGGGAGCCTCTGGGTTACCTCCGGAGCCCCAGCCCTGTATCTCGCGACTGCCCCTCAGAATCTGTGTTTTTCAACACTGGAAGAGCAACTTCAGATGCAGGATCTTGGATTGTGACCATGTCTTGGAATCCTGGATCCTGATACATGCATAGCTCCAGGGATCCTGCCCTAGGAAAGTTGTCAGTGTGGGGTAAAGGGTTTTTAATTCTCGAATTAACTGATAGACGCGATAGTGGGTTTTCTAGATGGAGGAATCGAAAAAGCAGGTTTTGAAGGAAGTTCAGTTCTTAGGGGAAAAATTATTGGCTCCTAGCTAGTAGTTTGCACGTAGATGTAAAAAGAATGTGTAATTATTCACTGTAGAACATATGGCTGATGGAAACTGGACAGCTTTCCGAATGGCATTCCATGACATTTGGTGAAACTTGTGGGCTTGGGTTGGGAGATAATATTGAACAACTGGAAGTCAACCATGCCTATTTACCACAATCTGTAGAATTAGAGCAGCAAGCAGAGTAAGTTTTAAGCTTACTCCATCACATCTGCTTTTAAAATACCGGAGAAGCGTTCCTAGAAATTCTTACTTAATGAATATGGTGGTCATTAACGTTAGTCTTTAATGATTTATAACTGCTTAGTGTCTGTCTGCAAACAGCATATCAGGAATAGGTTTAAGGTTTTTATCTTTATGATGACCTAAGTCTGTTATCCACAGCTCCAAAACTTAACAGCCACGTGTGTACCTGTGATGTAGTGCAGAAAGCATTGAAATCAGTGTTGAGGCTTGGGACCCCACTCTGTTGATTGGTAGTGTGACTTTGGGTCAGGCATTTCACTCCTTAAGGCGTAAGTGTCATCATCTGAGATGAAGTTTCTTCTAATAGATTCTGAGAAGTAAAAAAGTATGTAAAACAGGTTGTTTGCAAAGTTAACCTGTGAATTCACGATGACGTTAAATGAGTTTTATCTGTTTACATAATCTTGTATGTTTTATATTGCTTTTTGAACATCTTGGGAGGAAAAGTGGAGTGTCTTCTGAACCAACAGCCAGGAGTCTTAAATTTGTGCTTCTGAAAAGGGACAGAGTAAATATTTCAGGCTTTGCCAGCCACGTACAGTTTCTGTTTGCATAGTTTTCTTTGAAATTATCATTACAGCTCTCTAAAATGTGAAAACCATTCTTGGCTCCGGGCATACAAACAGGGCCTGCAGTTTGCTGACCCCTGCTAGAGAATGGTGGTGGCTGCGAGGGTGGCTGTGCTCAATACGGCTTTGGAATTAAACTTGGAGGAGCAGGTTTGGTCTAAACATGCTCATTAATGATACTGCGCGCTCTCTCTCTCTCTCTCTCTCTCTCTTTCTTTCTTTCTCTTTCGCTCTCTCTATTGGTAGAAAAGTAAATACACCTTTCAGTCATTTGGGAACTGAAAATAAGGAGGAACCTCCTGTTGTATTTTGGTTTATGTCTTTAGGTGAAGGGGGCTGAAATAAACTGACTTTAATGTATTTAATGCTGCATGAAGACTAAGACTTTAAATGTATTGTTTAGGATAGGAAAATGAGCATCAATTAACGTTGGCTTGAAATATATTTAATCTAATCCAAGTTATTTTCACATGTTAACAATTTTGTTAACATTCACAAATAAATTTACATTGCCTTTTGTGTAAAGAGCCTCAATAAGGTACATATTCAGGATTCATTTACAAGTTAGAAGCAGTGGGAACCACCCCCCCCAACAGAATTCTTCCAATAAGATATACTAAGTAGCATTCTGGATATCTTGAAAGTAATCTACTTAAAAATAGGCTTAAGACATAAATGTGAGACAAAAGGGGAATATGGATTTAATTACAGTAGGGAGTTTGGGGTTGTCTGAAAACATGGTCCTCCATTGCTTCCTCGATGGGAAACATTTGCAACAACTCACAGATAATATTGAGTTATCTACTTGGCAGTGGACTGGCCATTACAAGACACCAAGAGGACTTTGTAAATTACAGGAATACACGTGTATAAAACAGAATGTGGATGCCATAGGACAGGTACAGAGAAGATCTGATTAAGAAAGACTTTTACTTAATTCAGATGGCTTTGAATTAGTGTGGAGGAAGGATAGTGGGATGAAGGGGACTTCCAAGCAAAGCGAAAACATGACGAAAGGTAAAAAGTGTGGGAGCCTTTTCAAGAACTGGCCAATAGTCAGGTTTTGCCGAAGCTAGGGTATGTTTTGGATATAATGAAATAGAGTTAGTGGAGATCATCTAAGGAAAAACTCTAAAGAAAAGGTGAAAGATTTCATATTACAATAGGCAATGAAGGCCCAATGATAATTTTTGACTTTTGAGTGAAAAAGAGTAGAGGCTGGAAAAGGAGGCTCTCGCAGTGGTCTGAAATGGATTCTAGGTATTGGACATTCAAACCAGGGTGACAACAGTAGGGCAGAAAAGGAGGGCCTGCATGACCAGGTCTGTTGTTGAAGGACTGCTGGACAGCCACTGTGTGAGGTACTTTGTGGAATGTTTAATGGAGGCCAGATTATCAAGGGTAGGTGGAGAGCTCTGAATTAATTGTGAAGGTAAACAGTGAGTTGTGAATTTAGGAGAAAGGACTTACACAAGCAGTGCTTTGGGAGTCCTTTAGCCAATCAGTGCCACAGCAGTTTGAGGGAAGAAACTGGAGATGAATTTGGGGACTGATTCTTTATTGCATATATAAAATGGTGAGGGGCTGGACCTTGGTACTGAATGTGGGTATGAGGAGACAATGGGGAGTATACTTTTTGCCAACTCCCTTCCCCGAGACATTTGGCACACTGGTGACATTTTTGTTGTCATAACTAGGGGTCAGGGAGCATTCTGCTGACATATTGTAGATAGAGGTGAGAGATGCTGCTAAACTCCTTACAATGCTCAGGAGAGCCCCGACAACAAAGAATTGTCTGACCCAAATGTCAGTATTTCCAAGATCAAGGAATCTTGACTGGGTTCTGGCGGTGGCACTGGGACAGAAAATGAGGCTAGAGGTACAGAAGAGACTATGAAAGTAGACTTTAATAGACCTGGGTTACCTGGTAATATCTAAATGAGAGAAGAACAAGGCAAAGATTGTTCTCTGTTGATTATCATTCTTAGACAAGGGGCAGGAAGAAGGCCTGATCATTAACGAGATGATGTTTGATTTCAGGCATTTTGAGGTGGCAGTGCAAGTCTTCAGGTGATGGTTGGTAATGTGTGGAGATTTGTCCACCTCAAGGGCTGGTTCTTACAGTGAAGTTCAGGTGTTTGGGTTTTTTGCCTTTCTCTTGGGGACAGGAGGCAGGTAGCTTCTCATTCTGTGGACATGTATATACTCTTTAGAGCTGTGATTGGTGTAGTAGTTTTCAGCATTTGTTAATAAAAGTCAAGAAGGCTGAGTCATCTAGGGAGATAAGTATAGAGAACAAAGAACAGAGGGCCCAGAACTGAAGAAAGAAGGAGGTAGCATTTATTGAGGGCCTGTTACGTTCTTTTTACTGGACAAATAATTTTCATGTAATAACTCATTTGATCCTTGCTATATCCTTGTGAAGTGAGTATTATTCTTGCTTATTAACTAGGAACATGGCAGGCAGAGAAATTAAGTAACTTGTCAATGAATAGAGTGTCTTTCCCTTATTCTAGGCCTTATTCTCAAGCTCTTTCTTACTTTCAATTGTTCTTGGGATTGGTTTGTCATCAGTTCTTATAAAAGTAGAGATTTTTAATTCTTTCATTTTGAGTTATATATGGATATCTTTGCATAATAAATGGTTCAGTGTATGATGAATTCTTGAAACATAGCCACTTAAGAGAAATAGGAAGATTCTTGAAATTGGTATTCTGGGCACACAGAAACACAATTTTACATTACTACAACTGTCAAGCGTCTGTGGGTATGTTCATTGTACTTGTTTTAGAATAGCAGAGTAAAACCTGTTCAAAGTTTATTTTTGGAGACAGTATGTCAATAGACAAAGTGAATGAGCTAATGCTTTATAGAATTAAGCTCTACACCTAAGAGAAGCAGAATTGCAGGGAGAAAAATCTGGCTGATAGGATTTAATCATAAGGAATTTTGCTCTCTGCTGAGCTCAATAGCTTCAACATCACCTTTTCCAAAAATTTTTTACTTTATTTTTCAAATAAGGAAATGCATGCTATTTACTACACTGATCAGTACATTTTCTTAGCCTTTACTTAATTGGGCAATGTTTTAAGATTTCATACAGACTTTGAAGTACATAATAGCTTGCTAAAAGTTTCCAATACTAGTTGTTCTTTTATTGAAAGTTATAAGAAATGTACCCTACTAATGAAGCTGAAAAATCTTTTAGGTCATTTGTGTTGAGCAGTATATTGGTAGAATATTTGAATAACACACATAATAGGAGAAAAGTAACACCAGAGCCATGTAAGCCATTTTGTCTCTCGAAATTTGTTGGGTTACAAAATCTATTTATTTAGTGCTAGCATTAAAATAAGGAAGCAGTCTCATACATTGAAGGTAATAAACTTAATACAAATAAACGTCAGCCTTGTTATTCTGGAGTGTTAGCTTTTTTACTTGTAATGTCTGAATCACTAAAGTAATTACAAGCTACAAAAATAATCTTGCTTTAATCAGAGACTTTCCTGCACAGTTGAAAAACTTCCACTGTGAAAGGATGGCTTTCTGTAGTGTCATATTTATTATTTGCTTTTAAAATCTCTC